GTGTTTTGGAATTGCTGCGTCGTTTCAATGGTAATTGGTAATCGTTAAATCCTGTTAACAAACGTTTTCCTTACGTGTGATTTTCCATTTTACCAAAATAGTTGATATAAATTATTTAAATAAATCGTCGCTGTGATTTTGGAAAGATTTCAATTCATTAATGTTTGAATTACATCTATAAACTAATGGACAATACAATAAAACACAATGTAATTTACATGCAAAACTGAGCGAGAAATGTGCAATTTTATTATACTAATTGTAAAATTTACTCTCTAAAATAATAAATTAAAAAACACTTATTATTTGATAACAGAATCAGTGGAGAAATGAAATAATGGCCAGACATGTTAACCAACGTAATTTAAATAGAGTCTAAAAAAATAAACATTGAATTAGCATTCTCTGAAAATTCTTCTTCAATCAAAGATTAAACTACGCGACTAACTATATTTTTCGAATGTTACCAAGTTTAAGTCTGTAAAATTCATTTTTATATAATTTAATCAAACCCTTCTGTCTTCCACTTTAATGGAATTAATGACTTCAGAAAATGTACAGCTCATTTAAAATTTCTCATATGTAATTGCTAATTCCCCAAGTCAGAGTTCAAAGGTTGTCCAACGTATCGTCCGACAAAAGTGTTACGAAACTACTTACAATAGAAATAAAGTCGGTACCAAATATTCGATGTTTACGTTCATTTAAAAATGAAGGTTCCTTTTCAACCAGCACTCATTTTGATAAAACTTATGCAAGACAAAGTTCTCAAGAAAATATTTGACACGCATTTTTTCTTTTCAATAAATATCCACTTTGAACGTGTAAAAACACCCCTTAAAGTTGAGAGTTGAAAGTATATTTCTGACAATATCTTTAAAATTGAGGGACGTAGAAAAGAAATCTAAATTGTTCATTTCGAAGCAAATAATTTAAAAAAATTCTTTTCTACACCCCTCAATTTCAGAGATATTGTAAAAAGTACACGCTAAACAACAAAAGTACAACCTTAACACTAGAACCACCCAGCATTTAATATGATTAGTATGTAATCCCTATAAAAATTGTAACAACAGATTATTTTCAGTTTCTTTAGATATTCGTTATAGCATTCAAGGGAAACTATTTATTTTCGAGATAATTTCAAATATTCAATGCTTTTAAGGTACCAATAATTATTGTCAGTTTCTTTAGACATTCGTTATAGTATTCAAGGGAAACTATTTATTTTCGAGATAATTTCGAAACGAGGGAACCGAAACTAGTCATTTCTACTGGTATGGTAGTTCTAGTGTCAAGAGTTGTTTTCACCTGTTCAAAGTAGATGTTGGCCGATAAGAGGAAATACCTGTGAAATATATTCTTGCGAACTATGTCTCGCATAAGTTTCATCAAAATCGGCGTGTGCTGGCTGAAAAGGTTCCCTCGTAAGATGCAAGTGCGGCGAAGCGTGCGAAATGAAAATCGCGGGACCTGCGAAACATTAGGCCGAAAGTCCGGCAAAGTCCAATTAAAAGTTCGTATAGTACGTGTGTCGTTCGCCACGTGCGCTGATGATTCCGCAGCATGCTGGATACTACGTTGCTCGTCTACAACCGTAACGACTGTTGCACTCCTATCAAAGTTAGCTGCGGGAAGCTATGCGATTGCAGCGCGCATAGTATTTCCTACTTTAGTTTCATAGTTAATTTATTGCATGCAAGTTTAAACGACGCAATCCTAGAAGAGAGTTTCATTATTGCGGAACGACATCTCTGCCGCGTCCCAGTCTTACCGGGACAATACTTGTTAGAAATATACTCGTGACGCAGTGTCAGATGTGTCATTTCAATGTGAAATTTGTACGGTAACGCAGTACATCATTTATAATTATCGTGATTACAGGGCGATATTTCTCTGATTTTGTTGAATCTGCAGTACTTTGTCACTAGGTTCTTTGATATTATTTATCTTTGGGTGGGAAGAATCTAAATAATGATTAGATTTCGAACTAGAACCATTGGAGACTCAGAATTTTGTATAAGTATTCATTTCAAGAGCATACAGAAAGGTTCGTATACAATTTCGATGCATATCAACAAAGGTATCAAATACTAACGGTAAATTTTATTTCACATGGCTACCTCGATATCTCATTAACATCCAATACTATAAGTAATCACCAATTAAAACACAATAATATTTTCATAATTCTTTTCGAAATCTCCCGAGAAAACCCGAATTAATATCAATGCAAAAATAAAAAAAGAACTCAAAGAATTTCCCATACGTACTCGTATATTTCAAAGACGAGTAACAAGATCCAAATAACAATTTTGATGCACATTAACAGAGGTATTAACACTATTTCTACCGAAGGCGACACCTCCAAAATTTTAACTTCAAATTATCTTCTTAGTTTAATCATATATTTTGAACTGACTTTCCGAATTTTCCAATAACGATTAGAAAATGATCTACACCTAACTCTCGATTTACGCAGACTTTTCTCACGCGATAAATTGGAACACTATTTACGCGGTAGTTTTTATGCGCGATTTCAATTTACGCGATCTGAATTTAGTAAAAGCGAATAAAATATACTTCTGTTTTCTAAAATGTCATTATTATTATCATTATTTCTTTTCTTAAGATATGTGAAATAAATACGTACTTCTAGAACTTATACCAGCTTTTCTCTTCAGCATTTTGTTTTCTCTTGTACCGACAGGCTCTATTTACGTGATTTCCGTTCGCGTAAAACGAACCCACGTGAAACGGATTTTCTACCGAGGAAAAATTATTACACTGAGAAAACAATTATAAGTTATTAGTTATAACAAAACAATTATTACATTTCAAAAGGTGTCTGTTGGCACCTCAGGCAGAAATAGTGTTAAACACAAATTGCAATACATCATTCTACACATCTATCTCGTCTTATTAACAAATGAACCTTCTAATCCATAACTCAGGAAAAACCAGACCAGACAATAGATCTCCAACCGAAAAACTCGTTGACATTCCTGTATACGTAGAACGCAACAGCGTTCGAGTGCATAGAATTAAGGTAGTGTGCGATAAAACGAGTATCATGATGGATTGGATGGAGTCTCCGTCCGCTGTTGTTGTTTATTCAAAGAGCTGGCCATGATTGTCCAACAAACCGAGATACCAAGTTTCTGTCTTTTTTCGGTGGACGCACCGCCGGACACCGGCGCGATGCGCCTCGCTACATGCACGCTGTCCGCGGCTACCAAACGGTTTAACAGATTCATGGCCGCATTTGCAATGCATCGAAAAACGATGGCATTCAATTCGAACGGCGTATTTGGTACGGTCAGATATTGAATTCCGCGCGTTCAGCCTGGCAAGCCTGGCCGGCCGACGACGGCACACGATTTAACTTTTAAAACGTTTAAGCGCCACGCTGTTTGCCTGCCGCTCCTTCCGTCACGCGACGTCGAGCGTCGTTGCGTAACGAACGGCCGTTATTCAGCCAACCAGGTTCATTCCCGTTGCGAACGCGTTTCGCTTGCCGCGACTTTTTGATTGTGCCGCGTAAACTCGTCCTTCGGAATTATTTTACATGGCGCTTCGTTACATCTTTCGTTAGTCGAGAATTCCGGCTCGGAATACTGGGAAACATATTTATTGGGAAATCGACCAGCAGCGGCTCGGTAGAAGGGATGTTACTAATAGCTGCTGTCTGTCTGATTGACCTGTTAATTTTGTAACTTGGTTTAAAAAGTCTCTTATTTAATAGAATGAAAGAATGAACTGTATTGTCATTAAACGCGGGGCAAGTTCGTGTGGAATATATTGTAAGTAAAGACTAAAGGTAAATGGAGGAGGATTACATGTTTATTTGAAATAATAAATTATTTGTCGTTAGAAGAATTAGCGTTATTTTGTTTTAAGATGACGTGTGTACTCGTCGAACGCGGTTAATTGGTTGACACTATTTCTTTCTGCACAATTCTACATTTTCTTTCGTCTATTTAACTTTATATCGGTTCTTATGGTGACTGATTAATTAGTTCTTCGATGTTTGCTTTTGCTTTTGTTTCTGTTCCCATTAAAAAGAAGTTACCGTCTAATTTGCTTACCTGTATTTTGTAATCAATTATTTGACTGGTTACGCTAGGAATAGGTAAACACGAAGTGTTTACATTAAAAATGTTTTACTAATAAGAAAATTTTGTATTTCAGTTTTATAAGCTATATATTTATATCTGGAATATATTTGTTTTAATATTTCTATTAATAATAATGGGAAAAAGGAAGTTTCGATTTTCTGATTTTACTATTTTTTCATTTTATTATTTATTCATTGATAATTTCAACGATACAATTATGAAGTAGTTAGTGTAAGTGCTTCGTGTAAGTATATTTATACTTTATTCATTGAATAAAGCATTTCTTCCAAACTCTGGCATATCAAACGTTGATATGCTTCGTTCTATTTTCAAAGTATAAAAAATATAGAAAATAGGTAAATATAATATGATAAATACATTATATATACTTATAATGATTCATTCATTTTACAATATTCATCCTTATTTCATGTAGAATACTGCATATTGTACTATGACGTATGACACTATTCCATTAAATAATGGAAATTCTATGTTTCATTTCTAAACGATTCAATTATGTACAATTAATTCAGAATGGCACATTAATATCCTTTTGGGGATCAATTAACAATTAATTATTTATCAAATGATGTAACAATATAACATTTTTCTTCAAAGCTTTTTTCAAAATCTTAAAATGTTTCAATCGACTACTGTTGTATCAGAATGCAACCTAAAAAATGATTTGTAACGGCTTTGTAAGTATTAATGTCATTATGTAGTTAACATTTTCTGAAAGAAGTTGCACGTACGAAATCAAAGGGTGAATTCTCATAAGTATCAGTATATTTGTACAGTTTATCATAAGAGCATAGTTGTGGTATCTTTGAAAATTGATGTCTAACGCGTGGGAGGTTCTGTCAATCTAATCTACACGAATACAGTCTTCGCATCGTTTCTATTTACAAATTACAAACGAATAAGATACTCATTTTTCTTATACTGATATATACATTGTACACACTAAACAAATTAAACACAGTTTATCAAATTAAAAATAATTAAGAATACTTTGTTTAGTGTACACTCTCAAACATAGGAAGATCATTGAAGGCACAAAAATGTAAAGATACTAATTCTCCTAATAATCTTCAAGCATTCTAAAAGTTTTCATTACGTAAAGTATAATTCACCAAAAAAAATCATCAATCAGCATAGCAAATTATAAAAAAAAACAATTCCTTTCGACTACCAAATAAAACTAGGAAATTCTTTCAAGTGTACTCTCAACACACAGATTCCTATTCACAAGAAGACACCACAAACCTACCCTCTCCTTTACCAACCATACACCCGTCTGCCCACAAATCCTCGCGCATCAAGACGATTTATTCAATTTCTTCTGAATCTCCACGAAAGTTTTGCCCTTCGTTTCCGGCGTGATGCGATAAATAACCGCAGTACAAATCGCCACTACGACAAAGTATCCCAGAAACGGTAGCGAGTGGCCATACCCTAACGTTATAGCAACCCATATGTAAAGCTTGCAGCCAACGACACCCTGCACACCGCCTAACACTCCGACAAGACAGGTGCTGACAGCCTTGACTTCCGTAGCGAATATCTCCGACATCAGGATGATCTGTAAGCATACCAGGCCGCAGCTGAACGTGAAAACCAGTACAATGGAAGCAATGAAGGGCGCCAAGGAGTACGCCTGCAGATCCAAGCTGGTGTAGTCTTTTGCGTAGAAGAAAACACCTATGACGAGGTTCGACAGAGCAGCTAGGACACCCGACACAAGGATCAGCGGTTTGCGGCCAAGCTTGTCGACCAGGATTATCGTTACGAACGAGGCGACCACTTGAGTCACGCCGATGATCACGTTCATAGTGTAGTCGGTGATGGCGGTGCTGGTCGTCTTGAGGATCAGCTGGCCGTATATGATTAGAGTGAAGAAGCCGCCGAAATGGTGTGTTACCGAGAACAACAGGATCGAGAGGAAAGCCATGAAGTTGCCACGCGACGTGAACACCTCGCTCATGCTTCCAGTTTTCGCAGCTCCTTTCTCTTCCCTCGACAAACTGTCGATGACCGTTTGCAGCTCCTCGGAGACGTCGGTCTTGCCACGCAGCTTCTCCAGCACGCCCTCCGCGTCTTCCATTCTGTTCCTCAGCACCAGGAAGTAAGGCGACTCCGGCATGAACCAGAAAGCGACGACAGCGGCTACGTTGAACACGAAGAACACGCGGGCCGTGAATGATAAAGTCAGGTAAGGAGCAACGATGAATGTAACCAGGATGCCGGTGTTATACACGATCCCGATCAGCGAGTTCGCGGCACCCCGCGTACTCGGCGACGAAATTTCGCCGATGTACATCGGCGCCACGCACACGAATAATCCCGTGGCGAATCCTGCTATGAACCTTGCCACATACAGCTCCTGCGAAAAAGAAACGTGCGTGGTAACACGGTGATGAGTAGTTTTTTTTTTTTAAA